TAGATACAGGTGACTAGCTTCTGTACAGAATATAGTCCAGCAGACCCTAAATCAAAATATGAATAAATGGATGGTAAAGTTTTGAACTTCATTACTCACCGCAACCGGTTCAATTGTTTGATAGAACATTAGTCTCCACATGCTTACCAGTATGTCTTACTGTAGAGGTAAACGAATTAAAATGGCTTCATAATTATATCATATATTCGATCTTATGGAACACGATGAAGCAGAACTATTTATTGGATGATATTTTGAGCATAATTTATTTTTCATAATCAAGTGGAAGTCATCACACCATTTTCAAACTTCTTTCATTTTTATAGTCCAACATCTGCCTTACGTTTTATTTTCAGTGGTAGAACAATTTTCCAAATGTCTGTAGTGTGTGATTAATCGTTCTTGTTGCATGTGTTAGGCATCGGATTCTAGAACTATCATCCAGTCGCAGCTTACAGTGCTAAGATTCGTCAGAACATGTTTGGCAATAGCAACGCTTTACTCCCGGTCACTTATCCAATTAGGGTCTATCACTCTGCATACTATTGCATCGCTTTACTGTCTATTAAATAAAATAATATTATACAGAATTGTGTTGCGGAATACTAATCACTATCACACCAAACAGTATGCCATCGCTGGGTAATTGTTTTGAAACCTCACGGTTTTCATACTATATCATGAATAAAAGGAAGCTGAGAAAAATCAGTCATTGAATCCCAACCTCCTGATTGAATTTTAACGCGCCTTATGTGAAAGTTGGAAGGCATTGATTTGATGGCTTGTGAAATTATGAGTAAACACTGTTGACCAGTCTGTCCTAAATAGATGCAAAACAGCTATCTAGGGGTACCAAGTTTTCAATGATTCAACAGTTGATGTTATTTCATGACGAATACTTTAGAAGCAACAAGATATAATTCGGTTTATCATTATAGTTTGATACATATGCAGCAAATGAAATAGCTTTTTTGAGAAAAAAGTTTACGAAGGTTAAAAGGCCTCTGAAATTCACTTTTCCTACATTATTCTTTGCTTGTTTATTCCACTGCTGAAATATGCTTACATCAAGCGTAAAAGAATTGTGTTTTACAGTGATGAAAACTGTTAGGTAGCATGAAGCGTGAGTGTGCATGTTTGAATTTTTAGATGTTTGTAATTGTTGTTATTTTTTCTCCTGTTATTTGTTGAAGTTGATATGCCTAAACACACACACAACGTTACAACTGCACTTGTTTATGAATATGATTTCATGAATGTCAAATTAATGCTGTAAGAAATAAACTGTGTATCCGCTGTATATACTTAAAATGGATATCTAAAAGGTCAATCTGTCGAATTGAGATGTTTAGTTAAAGCTTAGCAATAAAATAATTTATGTAAATATGAAATGTGTATTTTTGGTGAACAACACAACAGAATGCCGATTAAATCCACTAGAGTGAATGAATTCTTACGGATACATTTAAACAGGTTAGTAAATGCACATAGAAATATACATTTGGTTAGCATTTAGGTGCATATCTAAGTCTGTATATGTAAGTTCGTGTGAGTGAGTGTTTACACTTCTCTATGCTTTTTGATTTTGCTGGAGGAAAGGAGGCTAACAAAATGATTAGCTTATGCGTTAATTAGGTAGCGGAAAACTGTATTGTCTTGGTATAGACGTAAAATATTGTAGATATTTTTTCCAGTGAATTCACCTGTTCCAAAAACGAATTCGTCAGCCTCTGTTCTGACGTCACGAGCACAAACATTGAACAGCATACTATTCAATCTAAGTCTTCTAAAATTTTGCCTACTCAGAGTATTTTTCACTGTCATTTTCATTGCTTCATCAACTGTATTAGATACCCAAGAGTAGATTTTAGATACTTTTACGTTATGGCCTAATTTCACCATAGATATCAGTATTTTACTCAATATTCTGACGTTAACTCACAAGCAAATTTGCCATAGGCATTTGTCTAAAATATCACTTAGTAGTGACAGGGAAATAAAAGAGACCAACCAGTCATATTGCAGGTCATCAAGACAAACAACGAAACTACTGTTGATGAAATCCTATAGCTAACTGCTAACGTTCAAAGCTTTTTTCATGTTGCCAAGATGGATGATAAAAGCTCCAGGATCAAACTGATATCAACAACAGAAAATATAATGCTAAGAAAATATGATATTTATGCTATTAATCTAGATAAAGAATCTAACCATAAAACATGGAGGTATCTTTCAACTAGTTAGAAAATGCGGGACTTTCCGATTTAATTACTATGTTGATAAGACAGACTAACTGAAAACCCATTGTTGCTGGAGATGAATTTAGTCCATGTTTGTGAAGTAGAATTTAAAAGTAGATTTGTATATTTGGCAGCAGACGCAATAAATTAGTGCGTTCTGTGGAATCATGGTTCAGGTGCAATTTATCGCACAGTGTGCTTGCTTTATAAATTTAACTGCAAGTATAAGGTATTGTTTTGGCCAATAATGACTCACCAATTAACCTCTCTCTCTTTAATAACTTCACTGGTCTTCAGTACAATCACTTTACTCCACCTTGTTTTTTGATTCGTCAATGCACGCAATAGCTGAGGGTTCTTCTATAAACTTCTTTCTTAATACAGTTTATCATTTCAAAGTTAGCTTAATTTTTTGTTGTGTAGGCCACCGCTTCTTCAGCAGAATATATGGGTTTTTATTAACATCAAAATATGCAATCAAATGGTTGAGCAACAGTTGTATTTCTTGTTTCAAAACCACAACAAAATATCATTTAACCTGCCATGCAATCTTTGCACATGTTCAGATTTGCTGTTCATGGACATTATTATCATCCAGTCTCGGTCTTTCATTTGCAGTTCAACATAGTTAATTCGCTGCCTATTTTTTATCGTAAAAGTACACTGCCAGTGAGTTTGCATTTGTTAAAAATACATCAAAATGCACGTTACAAATATATTATCCAAAAATTTTCACCAGTTCATTTAAGTACGATTAAATATTTCTAAGATGAACCAATGTAAATGGTTCCACATGAGATTTGTTTTATTTGATATTTGGCACACCGTGATACAGTATTATTTACTTGATGACGTATTGAGCATAACTATTGCTCATAATCATATCACGTTACACTTATATGATTATGAGCAATAATTTATGCTAGCATTGTGTTCTACCATAGTGCCCGAGTTTTACACTTCCACCCTTAATTATCAGTGAAGAAATCTACTAATACTGATAATGTCGGTGGTTTTTGTGGTGCATAATACATAAATAGGAGCATTTTAATCAGGTGCATGCATTAATACTGGGTGATGAGGTACACTAGTTATTTTAAGCCAGTGGACACGACTGGACTGCCCAGGCTGAATTAGGTTAATCAAGATTTAAGACTACGGTTCTTCAGTTGAAAGTTGAGTCCATAAGTCAATATTCCACTGTTTCAGTTTATCCTCGTACTTCATCATGAGCCTTGACAAGATCTATTTTATTGCTATGCTAGGCTTCTAAGCGAGTTCGTGATGAAATCAACTTATTCTGACTTCTTTCATAGATGCATTTATTGATTAAATAAAGGCTTGATATATTGAAAGCCACTATATTATTATCTTTCTGTATAGAAATATTGTTCATCTCTTTTGTCGTTTGTCTAAGTTAGATTACGCAGAATTGGAATATATTTTAGCAACGCATAGTAAAGATGTTTCTGAAGTCATCTGTGTTAAGTGTGTGAAACATTCTACCCACACATATATATATTCTTGTATCATTTTGTTCCTCATACATGAGAGACCAATAACTTATTTTCACACTAACCCAACATTATCAGCTATACTGTTTTATAAAATTCTTATTACTCTGAGAAGTATATTGCTAAGGTATTAGTCTCATTGTAGTAGGTTGGTGAATCAGTCGAAATGAAAACTTCCGGATTATGGGATCAGTACTCCTATGAAAGAGTCACAAAACTCATTTGCGTATCATATTTTTCAGTTCAGTCAAATAGGTTGTTTTCCACTGATTAAGTGACGTATTCGTAATTTCGTTTTCATCTCTGTTTATGATGACAACCTATGACTTTCTAAGCCCACTCATCTGCTGGCTGCGCTAAACCCGGTAAAACAAATTGTCACACCTTCTCAGCGCACAAAACTATCTTTTTCGAATAACCTAATTTCAAACTTACTTAAAAACTCCATTTGTACATGACCTATTCGCCTACTATGATGCTGAAGGCAAGAGTTAAATTATTGTTTACGGAAAACAAAAGATGATTTAACAGTTTTTTTCCCCTGGAAATATTGTAATGAACAAATATTTCATGTAGCAAAATAATGATTCGAGAATACTTTAAACGGTGGCTACTTCCAACTCTTATGATTACTCGCGGAAGGAATTGGGGACAGAGTTTCTTTGAGTCTAGCCTACTTGAATTATTTCTCAGTGATAATGTCTGAAAGGTTTTCCACTCTATCTTTTTACTCACATTTGTGAAATCGAAGGCTATGTTTATAAGTCAGTAAAATTAGATCACATGGGATCGATTAAAGAATACTCATTGGAATTTTGTCGTACAAAGAAAGCCGAATGAAAGACAATTATTGAGAAGCTATCAATGAAATAAATTATTAAATTGCATGCAAGCGTTAAAATGTGGTTAGACATTTGAAAATAATATATGGGCGGGATGGTGATTAAATAAACAAACATTAATATGGTATTTATATTTCATTACAGCGTACTGGCTGATGCTTTCCGTCAAAGCTTATTTAACCATATTAGGTGTTCATTATTAAAGGAATATAGAACTATAAGATATAGCCTAATCTGTGTACAAGTTTAAATGAGAAATTCAGAGGAGATATGGTTTTCTTCAGATTAGAGATTTCAACTAACAGAAACCTGAAAATGGAACCTATTGTTATTCAACTTGTAACTTCTAGTACAGAAGCTAAAATCATAGGCAATATTAACAGGATGTTAAAATATAACCTTACCTTGACTGCTGAATAATTCCACGTCCTGTTTTAACTTTCCATGGATTTTTTATTTCTGTTTGATTAACGAACCATGAGATAATTGGTGTAGGTCGACCAAGTACACTGCATGATAATAATAAATCATTCCCTTCATTAACGTGAAGCACGTCTTTGTGGTGCAATGCACCCATGTAAAGTGGATCAGCTGAAAACAGATAAAAATAATTAGACGATTAGATGGCGTTGTTATACAGACAGACACCTGTAGGAAATTTTGTACTCGACAAAATTGATATGATAGGTCATTTACTCTTCTTGTGCATTTCGTTTCCTTCAGTGTAACTCACAGAACAAAGTTTTTATACTCATTGCGAGTAGTGTCTTAGTAAGAATTGTTGCATGCTCACCTTGTTCTGTGTAGCAGACTAGAAATGTTTGCACACATTTTGGATAGCAAAAGACTGCTTCAAATAACTTTAAGAGTGGAGTGAACCCAAAATAAATGTGAATATATTGTTTTTCGATACCAGTTTAAAAGTTATGTTAAAGTATTTCGCTATTCTGACTTGGCATATATGACGCATGGATTTTGTGAACCGCTACATAAAAATACTCAACGACAGTGAGGGTTGGAGAGCTGCTGAAGAATACCTGACCGCCAGAAATGTCATTGTGAAGCATACCTTCCAAAATAAAAAATTGTTTTTTCTATCACTCAACCTACCTTCGGTGTACAGCTGATTTTTACCGTTATGCATCAGGCTACCACCTTATCGGTTACTTTTATCAATACTGCATAATTCGCGCTATCTGTTTGGAAAGAAGTTTGATTGTGTGTAACTGATCAAACTTTATACATACATCATTCTCTTCACTGGAAGTGGATCCCATCGATACAATTGTTATCTCTCCTTGTTGTTAGTTAGCTCTTGTGAAGGAAATTGCTACTTTCAGAATGCATTATCATTGCAATTCACAGTGAGAATAAGAACTTCAGTCATCATAATTTATGGCATTCAAGACTAAATAAATCAAGTTGATGAAGAGAAAAAGAAAACTGTGGGTAACATGGTAGAGAATGACTGATTGTAATGGAGGCAATTCTTTACCTTTTTATCATTTTTGGCTTAAATATCATGTTTTCCTCTACTGATGTATTCATCCCTGTCTAACAACTTTGCTGTTCACTCATGATGTCGCTTAATTTCTTTGCATCATCGCACTTAACTTTATCTGAATGTTGCCGCTTAACTCAATATAAACTTGTGATGATGTCCAATTGATTTAGTTTGCTTACTAAAGATTCGTGAAAATAGACAGTTCTAATGCACATCACATACGTAACATGCAGATTATCTTGTAGAAAGTAAACTGTTTTCCGTGTTTCGAACTCCTTTTTTGTTATGATGCATAACAATAGATAAGTTAATTAGTCTAGAGTGATTATTTAATAGGTGGAACTGGTTAAAAGTTAACAATTAGTTGCTGCCATGGTTATCTGATAACCCTGTTTTAAGTGTATCTGTGCTAATGTGAAATACCACACCAACAATGTAGCTATGTAGGTAATTAACTTGTGACAAACAATCACCTATCTTTAATGTATTTTACCGTTTTCTTCTAGTCGGTTTCTCTTTTCTGTTTACCTGTGATATCTATAGAAATATAAATAACAGCCTACTGAATTAAGTCACGAACTTATCCAGGAAACTGAAGGTTCTTTTACCCTATATGTACGTCTAAAATCATACAGACATACATTTGTTTGTGTATGTGTAAGCATGAGTGTGATATTATTGTGTATTACTCACAAGAAGCATTGGTTTCGAAACCAGACAGGGATGAATAACAAAAAATGTCGAACAAAAAAGGTGAAAAATATCATTAATTGCAATAATAATAATAACCATAATTGTTAGTATTATTATCACTAATTTATGAACCATAAATTTAGTTAGTGGTAATAAAAAAGTCTAGCTCTCAATAAAAAGTAGAATGATATCATCCCCTCCCCGTTCCCGCTTTTCTAAATGTTTTTTATCGACAATTTACTGCTTCTGCTATTTCTTCTGTCTTAGTATTACACTGTAACAGTTATTTGTCTCTCCTTTTATTGATACAGATATTTGTTTAAATAAAACGGACAGGAGTAGTGAGTCGATCAACAGTCCACTCATTGATATCTCAGTTGTGCTTTACAAACTAATGTTTATTGAATAATCTAAACAACTTTTGTTCTTGAAAATTACAACTGTATGTAACAGATATATATTGTATACTGTCGGTTCTTTCACTTGATGTATATACACGTATTTACACACATCCGAAATGCATAGTAGTAGCTGTAGTACCTGTAGTAGTAAAGTGCCACAAATGTAAGGGTCCATGGCAGCTGGAATATGTAAGGTATGATTGATGTAAATTCTCATAAAATAGAGAACAATTTTTTCCGATCATTAACTCTGTCCTGCTCAGACTAGTGCTGAGTCGTAGATGTTAGAGTTGTGAGCAAGTATTGTCATCACAGTATGCTGGGATAATTGAAATAATAAACAAAAGAATACATTTTAACGTAGTATATGAGCCGACTTAACTACTATGGCGTACATTCAGTAGTGATTTTTTAAGTCACTGTTGACTGACTAGTCATCATTCTATTCCCGTTATCTATCTGAATTCGGATGGAAAAAAATCCACTGACAAACACTAAACACAAATAGGGCGGTTCGCTTTGACTTATTGGCATAAGGAACTCTTAGAAATAAACATGTTTGACAGCGAAAATATCATTTATTGGTTTATATTTACTGCAGTTAATAATAAGTGGTAAACTGAATAGGATTTAACTCCGGTATATGCAGAATAAGATCATCAAAATGTTTAATTGCCAAAACCGGTAAAGTCCAACGTACATTTTTTATCAGAAAACTAATTACTTAAAAATCAGTAAACATTTCCTTTTATTGAAATTGGTGCTTTTCAGTAACACCTTCAAACAGAATGATGTAGCCCTAGATAACCAAACCTAGCTGATATTTTTCGGTTTACTCGCCAACATTTATCCATTTATTGTAAATATCTGCAATTTATTGAGTAAGTAAATTTGCACCAAACAATTTACTTTGTCATGTTTACTTTGTTAGACAAAAGTCTTCCACCTGTTGAGTGTCAATAGTCGATTAACGGGAGCCTTAATCGAACTAGTGTCATACTTGTTTGTAGTCATCAAGATTAGAAATCTTCAGATAAGCAGAAATTATGGTCATTTAAATTCTTCACACCAGCCTCACTCAAATACAAAAAATGAGGTTTTACGTCTTGGCTATTTATGTCCAAATTAACCTTATATGGAATCATGTTGTTTACGCTAATTGGTTACGAGATGGTAACCAAGATGATAGTTAAGTTTGAAGTCTCAGCAATGAGCAGAGTTTATTGGTTAATTTTAGAGTGTAGCCATTTATTGATTTGTTACTGTGGTGACCCGGATCACTAAATATTGTACAGAAAAATTTCAAATTAGACTGATCATATTATCAGATTACAAGTTGCCAAACGCCATTTTGAAGTACATAAAACTGTTTATTTCAGTAATAAAGATAGGGTAGCCGAGTTCATCCAACCAGCCAACTTTTCACGGGAATAGTACTGTTTGTTAAGAGGTAACTAAGACCTCTAATCGTTTTCTAAAATTGTATCCCAGAGCGTTTCACGTATGGTAAAGAAACATTTCAGAGCAGTCATATGAATGAGTTTTCTGAACTCAAATCATTAGGCTGCTTACAAGTTTCATTATATTTTGTAATAGGAGTCCCTAATTTCCAGCTACCTGTTTGTAAGATTAACTTAAACAAAAAAGGCACTTTTCAGTTGATAGTCTTATAAGTTCAAATCATATTTCATTTTTGAGGTGAAGAAACCTAGTTGGGAGCATAATTCTTGGAGACTAAAAATGAAATTAGTGTGATAAAACATATATCTACCGATAAGCTATTTAGGTGATAGGGTCGGAACAGTACCTGCCAACTTGACGTGATGGTTTCGCTTCCATATCACTTCTCAGCCCAACAAGCTACGTTGGCTGAGACGCCCATTCCTTTAGGCCCTAGCATACAAAAAATCCACTGGATGGTTGCGTGACAAAAAGTTGTCATTATAGTGCAAATAGCTACGACTGAGTAACACAGTCGATCGAACAGGATATGATAGAAGTAAATTGCTTCACGTGAATGACTAGTACCTTGATGATGAGACCTTCTTTTTCTTGGGGGGGGGGGGTAGTTAAAAAGGTTAGTGCCCAAAATAGCATACTTCTCTTTGCCCTGGGTTATTCTGATGCCAGCGACATACGACTTTCTTGCTTAGTGTCAGCACAACCAAACCTCAAACCAATAATCCAAAAGAGGCTTTGTTTCCTAGGTCTTAGTCAGATATCTTATTGGCTTTGTGAGTACAGAAGGATAGTCTTTTTTCTCTTTCAGATATTCGTGATGTAGGTAGCTGAAAAGTACCAACTACCCACACACTTCTAGCAGCATGCAAAACACAATCAGTCGCAATCTATCCTCCTCACTTTTGTCTCATCCGCTGTCTTCGTTTTCCGATGTCAATAGGTCTGTTACACTCTGATTAACCTCTCAATCTGTGACCATTATCAATACTCCAAGTCAGTGAAACAATATTCCTAGTCTCCTATAAACGTGTTACCAACTTCAAAGTTCGAACCCCGTGACGAATCGGACTAAAGGGATGTATCATGTGTTTCTTAAATCCACATATAGGAGCCAAGCGAAATAATTCACTTGGTCTCATCTAGCCAATTCGGAAAATTTTCAAAATTCACTTCGTGAATGTCCAAAGATCTAATGTCTTGCTTCCGTGGACTTGCTGGTGTAGGTATAGCATTAAGTTCTTGAGCGGAAAGCTCACCTTTTGAGTGGATACCAGCCAGCAACTATCCGTATTCTGTTTGACTTAGTGTGTCCATAAGGATTAATAAGAGCTGTGAGACATCCCGACTCCCATTCTCTATTGCTGTTTACACCCCCACTGACTACTCTTTGAAGGGTGCAAAGCATGGGCTATGTCAAATACTGTTTTTTTTTGCTAAATAAAGCAAACCACTCAGATTAAGTTTGCGAAGCAGGAGACTTCAGTGCTCAAGGAAAAGGGGTATGCAGGTCGGTAAGACATTGTGGAGTTATC